GGGGCCTCAAACAAGAATGCACTCAAGGACACGATTTTTGTAACCGTGACTGATGCATCCCAGTACACTGATAACGTTCCAGTACATTGTGAAGGACTACGGATAAACCAGCAGAACCGAGATAAGGAACCTGAGGAATCTACAAATAAAAATCTTAAGAGCCCAGGAAAGACCATATATGGGAGAAAGACTCAGAGTTCATGGAAAGGACATTAAGAAGTGGTGGTTCAGAACCACTAGGGACCAACAGAGACCACCAAAAGACCTCATGTATGCAAGCGCAGTTTGCAGATACTTAAATGTATTCTGTTTAAATTCCTACCAATCATTGTAACTTAGATTGCTTAATCCTGAAACTTTTGTGTATAAATATGCCAAGAAAAGCGGCCTTAGTTGTGGGTGCATGGGCATTAAATCCATCCGTACACACAACATAAAGGATGCCTGCTTCTTCATACTACATTGCTGTTAAGAGGTTTCTTATTCCCAATTTCGGTTGCACTCGAGGAGAGTGCAGACAGAGGATGAAGCTGAAGCTTGTGTGATGCTCCCTCTGCAGGAGAAGCCCTGAATGCAGTATGGTGCAGACCCAACCCTGCAGTCACCTGATCTGGAAAAAAAAAAAAACCCCAAAACCCAGATTTACACTCCATACCCAGAAAAAAGGTGAAAAAAGAACCCACACAGCAAGGATCATGTTCCAGAAGGAGCTGCCCTGCATGGTATTGACCCTATAGAGGAGGAGCTCCACTCTTACTGTGTCATTCAGTTCTCTGCTCCTTTGTCAAGGTACAGCTGTCAAAGGCTGAGGGTACATCTTTAACCCAAATTCTGAACTTCCCACTATAATCGGGGCACATGAATTTTGTAGAAGCCACTGCAAGTCTAACTTGGCCTTGTCTACTCTAGAAATGTGGAGCTCATCCATGCAGATTGTCCCCAGTAAATGCATCAACACTACTTTGAAACCACACTTAAATGAGTGTTTCAATTACAAATAAAATTTTGACTTATTTACATAATCTTCCATATTCACAGCACAATACATTCCTCACATACAAGTTTTTATTAAGCTTCTCACATGTAATTAAGCAAATATACTACATCTGACATGCTAACAAGGTTGTCAGGAGCCAACTTTTTTCCCCTCCAGACATCTGTAGCAGTTGAAGTTCGATGGATTTCACATAAACGTTTCAAAACTTGTTTCCAGTTCTAAGCACAGTGATAAAACATTTGCCAGAAGTTCTAACCTTAATGACACAATGTGCCAGAAACATACAAAATACAAGAAACTGGAAGAGCACATCAGATAAAGCAACATGTAGGAGAACAGATCTTGTAAAAGGACTATGTTGCAGTATGACACGGTGCACCTCAGAACAGATTTCTGGGGTCTTAAACAGGAATAGGTTTGCTAATGGTACAGGCCTTTAACACAAAAAATAGTGTAGCAGATGCTTCTGATGGTCAGCCTACAAGGGAAGCAACACTAGCACTTGAGAGCAAGTCTCTTGATGCCCAAAAAAGAACCACTTACACGCTCAGGCTTATTTTTACAGTCCATGCTTTATCAGTGTAAATGTGCCACCACCATGTGAATTAAGATGAATCTATTCACAACTGATCAAAAGTTCAGAACAGCATCTTACCACACTAACGTCATACACAAAAAGCAAGACTGAAAACGTTGTTGTAACTGAAGCAAACCAGCACTATCAGGCATGTCGCTTCCATTTGTGATGGCCAGAAGTTTCCTAGGTGGATAATCCACAGACAAATCTGTAAGTTTTACATGTTACGTATGACCCTATCCACATCTGTTGTACGAGGAACACACTCACAAGACAGTGTGTTCCTACCCCTGTGTGATCCCGCTATAAGTAACTTGTTTAAAGGCTGCTGAAGCAGCGGTCCTTGCTTTAGGTGGGAGTGATCCTCCTATCTGGTGTCCCGTGCAGGCAACACTTAACTGAAATAATCACAAGGGAGTGGAGTAAGAAGCTCCAGTTTGGCAGCAGCAGTAGATTCATAATGATTAACTTGAGCGGTAGTTACAGATCCAGAGGAAATTATGTATCTACAGTATATGTACAGTATAATTAACTTCTCAAAAGAGTTTTTTCATTGCTATATTTTAAAGGTTGCCTTCAAATTACAGATAAGTCCTTTAAATGCTTGAAAGGCATAAAAATTCCCCTTCCCACACAAAACCCCAAACAATGTATTTTAGTTTCAAAAATATTTTGAACTCACAAACAAGCTTGGTATCAGTTAATCTGGTAAAACAGCTACGTGCTAAATAAAAGCACATCTGGTGGAGGGAGAGCGCAGAGAATGTTACAGGTGTGCTTAGTTTTTCCTTGCAGCATCTGGCAGTGGGTAGCAGGACAGAGGAAGGAATCTCAGTGGGTCTCCTCCTGTGTCTGTTCTGCAATAGTTTCTGTGGCACTGGCGTTGGCAGCAGAGTTGAGGACTTCTCCAAAGTCTCCCCCGGCAGGTTTGCTTCCTCCAACTTTAGACTAGAACACAAGAGATAGCCTCAACATAAAACAGCAGTTACTTGGCATATCAAACACACTTAGCTGTGTAAAACCAGTACCTCTGCATGAGGAAGTTAAATAACTTTTCAGCAGAGCAGCTTTTCCAGGACTGGGCTACCTTCACCATACTTGAGAGACAAGTGTTTAAGTGTCATGAGGAAAGCAATCACCAGCAGCAGGTTAACATCACAGTCTCTCCTCTCACTTTGAGATACACAAAGCACGAAGCAGCCCCAATTCCAGGGAGTCTGAAGGTTGACACACCCTCAGGTAAAAATGGATACAGGCATGCAGCCTTTCAAGCCATTCAGGCTTTGAAAGATTGAGTTAAAACTCACTTCTGCATTGCTCAAGAAAGAGCCTTGAACAGTTTTCAGTCTCAACAGCAATTCCCAAGATGTTTAGCGGAACATAGCAATGATTTTACTTCCTCCAGGTAATGTGTTTGCTTTTTCACTTCCCTCTACAGCATACACCCCATGGGATGGGCAGGAGTCATGCCAACTCATTTGCAAGGGAATACCCAGTTCCCCATGCTGTCCCTCGGATGCTTCTCATCCAACCCAGTGTGCCCATGAAAAGTCAAATCTGCCTCCAGTTACATGTATTAGTTACTTTTAAAGAGATTTTTTTTTTTTTTACCTGGAGAAGCTACTGATGGTTGTTTCTGGCACTTGAGGCTTTTATGAGTAAATTTTATAAGGTACAAAGACCTTGTGTATTTTATGCCAGAAATAAGAGCAACATCCCATGGTATACTACCATGTAGGACACCAGTGCTTAGAAAGGCATGGAGATAAAAGCCTAGACCATTCTGGATACATACCAGTGAGTGTGTTATGCTAGCTGTTTGTGCAGGTTAGCTCACTGTTAGTGCTTCTAGCTAAAGGCATCCAAAAAGCCCATTTTTTATTCTCAAATCATTAGGTAGAGAAACCACTTCCACAGTATTTCAGAAGAGGTCATCTAAGCGCCTTCAACAGTTCACCAATAACTAACAAACAGGCTACCCAGAGTCCACTTCAGTCTTTTCTCTAGATCCACAGCTCCACAGTCACCAAGGTGTTTTAGTAATGCTTACCTTCAAACTTTCAACTTTTTCCTCAAAGGATTTGAAAGTAGGAGAATTTCTAGAAAAAATTAAAAAAAAGAACCACAGAATTAAAAACATACCTGGTTAGTCTGTAAGTATCAAAAAACAAGCAGACAAGTTGCTTTTTCCAATGTCAACGTAAGTTTTGTTTGTTTGGGGTTATTTATTTATTTTTTTTTTAAGGGTAGCCTAAACCTAGTTTAGATCTGGATCTTCCCAAGGATGACAAAACCAGAGTTGCAGCTCATTTGTACCTCTGACAACTAAGCATCGCCAGGTGCAGCAATAGGATCTTTCATCACTAGCAAGTATTTTAGGTTTAGCTTATCATTCCCAGTGATTTCAAATGGGTTTATGGCTTAAAGGATTTGTTCAGAAAAGCTTAGTCATCCCTTCTGGTTAGCCTACTATGTTATTGCTGAAAAAAAAAAAAACTTGTCAGAGTTTTTCACTTGTTATAGGAAAACCTGTTTAATTTAATAGGCTATGTGTTCAATTAACAAAATGTGGTTCACAGTGGCATTTTCTGCTAACGTGTTAAATTTTAGGGAGACTCCCCCTTACAAGTGCTGGAGACAGCTGTGATTACTAAATTATAAGTTCTGCATATGAAGGGCACAAGAGCTCAGGATCCTCAATGCTGAGGGCCAGTGCATTATTTATTGGGGTCAGAAGAGTGGCTTAATACTCCTACTAGCTGTCCCTGCTATTTGAAGTTTGTGCAACAGCTTGTACACCTCTTCTGCCTTTATGCAGCATGGAAAATGCTTGCTTCAGTGGACCGAGACTATGGATTCATAGCAGACTCAAAAAAACACTATTATATACAGATGAAAGATGGGAGAGTTGTGTTGTTCTGTTTTGTTCTCAAAAGATGTATCGAGCTTCCCTTCCCCTCTTTGCTTGGTATTTGTGTAGGTCACTCCCACATAGCAGTACTCTTTCATTTGGGAAAGCACAGTAACATATATATCTCAAACCAGATTCTCTAAGGAAATAGAGGGACACAGTGCCAAGCAAGGGGAGAGAAAAGGCAAGCACTCCAAGTCACCAAGAGACTTTTTGTGAGTATTTTTAATTCACTTTCATTGTTCTAAAACAGATGTTAAGCTATTGCCTGTTAAATTTGGAATCATTCAGTAGCATTACATTTCTAACGGGCAGGGAAAAGTTATCACACTTCTCCAAAGAGCAGGAAAGTGCACTTGGCCACATTTCAGATCTGGATAACCACCACTATTATGCAAAAGTAAAACAAATTTTACCCTATATATTAGTACAGAAAATCCATTAGAAAGTTGGGTGGTTTTTTGATTTTGTTTTAAACCTATGTTAGTGGACTTAAGTTCAATTTAACACCATTCACACATGAAAATAAATAAACCCAACAGCTGGATTATGCATACATTACCTCATAATAGGCATGCTAATTGAATGTTGTATGGAGCGTATACTAAATGCCAGCATTAAGAAAAAAGAAAGAGAGAAGTTAGTTTAAGTGATAGATAGAGAACAGATTGGCTCAGAGAGCTGACTTCTGAATACTATCTGGTAAACAGCCAAACAGTCTTACATGGTTACTGCTTGGTTTTGCTTGTGAAAATTGCTTAGCCATGCACACACGCAAGTACAACAGAGCAAAAGCTGCAGCAACTTTTTTTCCTTTTTAGAAAGATTCAAGTGCCATGCTTGTTAGTCCATATTCTCCTTAGCTGCAACAGTGTCTACTCAAGCAATGAGGGACATGCTGCATTTACAGTTTTGACAATATCAAGTAGAAAGTGAACACTCAAGAGTCTTTCCAAACAACTCCTCTTCCTACTGAAAGAATTATTCCTACATTCAGAAGGCTTCCATTCCAATTCAGTGTAAGATTTCCATACCCATCAATACAAAATCTACTCATCGATATAAATTACCTAGCGAGGGCAGTCACTTTAATCCATATTCAAGGTCAGGTTTAGGGTTGGTGCAGGGAGACAGTGCTAGTTTCAACCTTCTTCTGAAATCCATGGAGGATTTCTGTAACTTGCCAGCATTGCTATACCATTACTGTTTCTTAGTGGCAACACACATGTGCTCCTAGTAGGTGAATGGATATAGATTAAGGAGCTTGCAAATAACTTTGTTTGTAGCTACAGTGTGCTGGGAATCAGCTACGTGAAGGCCAAACGCTGTCCTGGCACATGTCACTAATGCGTGGCCATGTTTCATCCCTTTCCCCAGCACCACTTCTGCTGTGTTTCATCCTCACAGGCAGTCTGGCTTCCACAAGCTCTACCAGAGAGACAGAAGCTGGTTGTCTTCCGGAGCTCTGCGATGGGGATTACTGTGGATTCTGGTCTTGCATGTGCCACGTTTGAGTACAGAACTAGGCTGACACTAACTAGTTCTTTGTCCGGTCATGCACAGCCACTTCCCCTCACACTGCAGGAAGTGCCTCCCTGCAAGAAATTTAAGGCTAAAGAATGAAAGTTACCTTCTTTGCCCCACATACATTTACAATCTGTAGACCTCCTCACACCAAAAAGCAACAGCCTATGGTGTATTTCAGATCTTTTAACAGGTGTCTAGGGAAGTTTATTTTAATCTCATAGAGATCATTTAATGGAAGAACTATTCGTACATCCGTGAAGGATTTACTTGCTGTTGTACAATACACTTATGTATACTCAGTATCCATTCTGCAAAATGCCACAATAAGACAGTATATACTTTTATCACAGAATTATCTGGTTTGCAAGAGAACTGGATTAGATAAGTGCGATTGATCTTTTTGTAAGATAAAATTGCCTGTTCTACAAGTGGTGCAAAGAAGCACGATTAAGCCTTGAAAAGCTTTACAAAGAAGAAAACTTGTGTTCCTTGTCACAGATGACAGAACGCCACATCAAAGCACTCGCTCAGCTAGGCCATCAAGTTGGGCGGTTTGAGGAAGAGAAGCACTTTTTATAACCCACACAAGCAAACTCCTAGCTTTAAAGAGAATATAAAACAAAAACAGACACAGTAAGTTGCTCTCAAGCCTTCCATGTATTTTGTAACGCATTAAAAGCTTTCTTATCCTTTACATGATTATTTTTATAGCTACTGCATTTCGCATTTTGAAAATGCACAAGGAGGTATGCCAGTGTCTCCTGTCTGGAAAACATGGGCTTAAGAGTGCATAAGCACTAGTTATTTGCTTTTGTTATTAAGTTTCCAGCTGATACACGATGATATTTAGGAGGCCATGATCATATCAGATTTCCAAAGCAAGCACAGAAAGTGATTCTGCAATCTCAGAACAGGGCAAAGATGAGGACTTCTGCTCCATAACATGCAAGCAGTGCAAGAGGAGCTAAGTGCAAAGTCATGATTGCTCAGAAAATCTGCCCAGAGCTACCGCTTGGTACTGCCCCTGTTTTGCACGTAATACTGATGTTGCCTACACAAGGATGGCTAGCTCATCAAAAGCTCACAAGCTTCTTATAAAGGAGAATAAAGGTATTAAGAGAAACCCAAGAAGGAACAGAGTTCGTTTTCAGCATAACCAAAAACAGAAGAAACAAAACAAAACGGAAGCAATAATACACTGACTTCGCACTACCAGTCCTCTCTCTCCCTCTCTATTTTAGTACTGAGTTCACAGCTTCACCAGCTTTCGCAACTCCCTCCAAAATCACTTTGCACCACAAGAATGAAGACCTGCATGAGATATTTCCTGCATGGAACATGTGGAAATACTCCAGCACAGAAGAAATCATGTCATTACAGCTGAGAAGTCCCTAAGCTAAAAGAGTACAAGAAAAGCGAAGCCAGGGGGAAGAAGCCACTGAAGAGTTTAACAGAAATGCACTTGCATATTCAGTATTTGTTCAAGTACGTATCACGCTTATCAATCCTCATTTCCAGGAAAGAATCTGGGCATCTAAAACCTTCTAAAGTTCATACCTGTCCAGTCTTAAAAGTAGACACCACTTGGGCAGTCACATAACCCTGGGACCTGAACTCAGTTTGAATCCCATATGAACGTTGTCCTCACGAAAGCAAAAACTCAAAGGTTTTAAATCTGCTGTTTAAGTGCAACCAAGACCTTGAAAAGCATTAATTATTCCCACTTATTTTTCTTTTTTCAAGCCCAGCTACCTTGAATTTCCATGGCCATGATTCTCCCCAAGAAGCACACCAACAGCATGGACTCCTCTGTTACATTTCCTCCCAGTGTCCCAGTTTCTGACAGAGTACTCAACACCCACCTAGCCACTAACTTGATTAATTAGGACACTCTCAAGGTATCACATTCCTGAAGCCAGAAGAAAGCTATGAGTCTGTGCTTGTCCTTGTTAAATGCAATAGTCTAATGCTTGTAGGGGAACACCATAGCCCTAAGGGAGAAAGGTGAACCCTGTTAAGTGAATAGCCGAGCTCTGCATCTGAAAGGTAGAGAGACATCTTCAGGCTCCCTTTGTCTTACTGATGCTAAAGGGGAGGTATTTTGGTCTATTCTTACACTTGAGCAAACTAAGCCCACTTCAGAGTCTGAGTTCTGAGAGAGTCCTGTGCTGCTGCTCGTCTCCTCCCCAGGCACTGCCCTGGGGCTACAGCTCCCAGTCAGTGTTCTAGGAGACAGATCCCTACTATAGGGATCCTACTGCTGTCTGTAGTAGTGAGAGAATACAGAAAAGATGAAGCCAGACTCAGAGGTGTGCAGAGATGGGATGAGAAAAAGTGGACAGAAGTTGCTACACAGGAATTTTAACTACTGGAAACTTAACATTGAATATTTGCTTAGGGTGGGCAGATAAAAGGCAATGCAGACAAGGTAACTAAAATGCTCAGTCTCAGAAGCCACTGAAGTAATCAACTCAAAGATAAGGACTGTTTTACTGGACAAACTGAACAGAGAATGAATAAACTATTTTACATTTAGACTCTAGTGATTTGATTAGTCACAATGCTAAACAACCATTGTCTACACACAAAAAAGGGAAAAATTCTACTCTGTCAAGGCACAAACGCTGTACAGACAAGGAGAAGGAAGAATTCTGCATGCCATTGACCTCAAAACCATATTCTGTCTCTTCACAAAACCCTGCAGAATCATTTTAACAGATTTGTAGAATCAGAGAATCATTAATGTTAGAAGAAATCTCGAAGATCATCAGTCCAACCATCAACCCAACACCACCATGCCCATTAATCCACGTCCCAAAGTGCCACATCTACAAACTTCTTGGTGACTCCACCGCTTCCCTGGGCAGCCTGTTCCAATGCTTGACCACTCCTTCAGTAAAGAAATTTCTCTTAACATCCACTCTAAACCTCCCTGGCACAACTTGAGGTCATTTCCTTTCAGCCTTATTGCTTGTTACTTGGGAGAAGAGACCAATACCCACCTTGCTACAACCTCCTTTCAGGCAGTTGTAGAGTGGTAAGGTCTCTCCTCAGTCTCCTCTTCTCCAGACTAAACAATCCCAATTGCCTCAGCCAATCCTCATAATTCTTGTGCTCCAGACCTCTTATCAGCTTCACTGCCCTTCTCTGGACATGTTCCAGCATCTCCATGTCCTTGTAGTGAGTGGCCCAAAACTGAACACAGTATTATTTGAGGTGCGGCCTCACCAGTGCTGAGTACAGAGGAAGGATCACTTCCCTCCTCCTGCTGGCCACACTGTTCCTGATGCAGGCCAGAATGCCATTGGCCTTCTTGACCACCTGGGCACACTGCTGGCTCATATTCATCTGTCTAGCAGTATCCCCAGGTCCTTTTCTACCTGGCAGCTTTCCAGCCACTCATCCCCAAGCCTGCAGCATAGCATGGGGTTGTTGTGACCCAAGTGCAGGACCTGGCACTTGGCCTTGTTGAAGCTCATACAGTTGGCCTCAGCCCGTTGATTCAGCCTATCCAGGTCCCTCTGCAGAACCTTCCTACCCCCGAGCACATCAACATGCAGGCCCCATTTGGTGTCATTTGCATTCCTTTCTTAAAAGGAAGAGAGACTGATGTTATGTATTCTCAAGATTTCATGTTCTGGAATAGTTACCAGGTGAACATGAAGAAATATTTTTCCTGACATTAATAGAGATTCAGTTTTACATTAACCAACACCAGAGGAAAAAAAGAAATTATCTGTTAAAAAAAAGAAATCTGTCTGTAAAGAAAAAAACTTATTTAAAGATTTTAATGAAGACAGTCTGACTACATGCTTAATTTCAGAAACAGTTCTTGTGCCCACCTTACCTAAAGGAATGTGAAAATGCCTGTAGTCTGCACAATGCCAGAGTAAGCATTAAAGAGAGAAAGGGAAGTTCTGATAAATCTGAATAAAAATAGGTAACTGTGTAGCTGTACCTCAGTGTTTTGTCACTAAACTTCAAAAAGCAAGCAAGAGGTTAATGGCAGCACTTTAAAACAAAGGGCTGATTTTATTACACTGTTTTCCAATGCAGCAATATTCTGTTAGAATGCATTAATTTTTATTTGTCTGATAACTGAAAAATAAGTTTGATCCACTATTCACAAGTTACAAGCAGAGATAAGTAGTTGTATTTGTTCCAGTAGTAAAAACTACATAATCAATGAATTGCAAGCTATGCATATAATTGCACTGCATCCAGGAAGAGTTTTGCATGCAGCTCACAATGGTGCTAAAATGACCACCAAACTTACCTAATTTGCATGAACAGCTGTGTCATTTGACACAAAGTCAAAACATGTTGTATACCAATACTTAAGACTTAGAAAGTGCCAATAGTCTATTAAAGAGGTAATAAAATCAAGCCACTGCTATGAGGTAGAACAACTTACAAAGAACTAAAACACGCCTGAAAGGAACCCACACACAAGACAAAACAAACCACAACCAGTTAAAGACATCAGTCCTTTAAAGGTCGTACTCCACAAGCTGAGAAAGTCAGGAAACAGAAGTGACAATCTATGTGCGTCTCACAGAGGCAGGCAGAGATGCTGCCACCTGCAATCCTACCAGAAAAATAAGAGCAGCAGTGGAGTTAATAGCGTATGTTGCTTCTCTTGCATACATGAAATCCACACCACAGAACTCTTCTGCATCAGCAAGGACACACAAGCAGATTTCGCAGCAAGTCGCTCTGCACTCCTAAAACACGCTGAGGGTTCTTTATAGATTAACTTTTAGAAATGCTAGGTATGTTAACAGCATAAGCTTATTTCAGTGATCAACTACTTAAATAAAAGACGCAACTACTTGAGAAAGGCTAAAGAAACCTACCTGACATCTTCAAACTTCTTGGTTATAACTGAACCAACAGACGAAAAAGCCGCAGAAGCCTTCTGACCAGCCTGAGACAGGGTTTCTGAGGTTTTCTTGTATCTATGTTCAAACAAAATTAAGTCTGTAGCTATTTTAGTAGAACACATAAGGAACTTTTTAGTGTACATAAATCTGTATCAAACCCAGAGGTATACTTCAACTTTGGAGTCAAAGGGACAAGCTACTTAAGACACGATTTTGAACCACTGCAGTTCATTCCTTCTGGCTTCAGCATCTCTGCCACCTCAGACTTCAAATCAGGTTCCCCAACACGCACCTACAACCCCACTCCCAAAACAGATGTTTTCTGCTACTGTAGGACTTAACTTTGTGCTATCTACACTTGCCTCATTTCACAAGAAGACAAGTTTTAGACACAAGAACTACACAGTTTTTACCTCAACAGTTCAGACAATCATCGTGAACTGGTACATACGCTGTGGTTGATGTAACATCTTGCCAGCTTTTGGTAATGTTCTGCCTTAGTTCCTGTAACGAGTTAATCCCCAGCTTTCTCTTGATTTCTGCTAGGTGCTTCTCTTTGGCAGCTAGCACTTGTGAGAGCGTCTGGATTTCCTCTTCCACCTGTGGCAACAGAGTTAAGTTAGAGTTTAAGTTAACAAGCAATATACTCAGCCACTTAACCATGTATTTATTAAAACAGCTACTAGGCATCAGTAATGAGAGGGCTAACACATTTTTAATATTGCCTCTAAGTTGTTTCTAAATACTACAATAAAATGGAAATCCAACATAGTCTACAACAAGAGCTAATTAGTGAGAAAGTAATCTACCTGCAGCTGGCACTGTTGCTGGAATATGTACAAGGAAGTTGGTAACTAGAAGACTATACAGGCAGAAATCATTACCTTTAGACAACGCTAGCCTATGTGAAGATTAGTCAGAGCTGGGACAATCACCAAGCCTGTACTCTTCCTCCATGTCAGGAGAGAGACCCATGTATGACTGATATCAGGAAGCTAAGACCACATCTGATCTATACACAAGTTTTGTCTCCTTGCTTAAACAGAAAGGTTCTGGCTTAAGCCAGCAACTGCAGACTGGATCCAGCCACCAGAGCAGGGGCAGAAATGGTGGCAGACTGAGCATTAAAAAAAAAGCAAACAACAGCAGCAACAAAAAACCCAAACACCAAAAAACTAGAAAACTGTATTTTGTGTACTTCCTTCTTTACACAAATAGTCACTTAAGCCTCTCACAGAAGCATGACCAGACCACGATCAGAGATGTCAGAACAGTTTTATGATGCTGTTCTGTGGGCTGCATAAATGTGACAGAGGTAGTAAGGCCATATGTACAAAGGCATACATCCAACCCTACTTCCTCATCCAGACTGGACCACTCTACTTTAGAGTGCATCAGGCTGCCCACTCACTGAAGCTACTCTGAGGAAGTGCCACTAGCTCCAATGCTTTGTTTTGGACCCCTGTCCAAAGTCCAGCATGACATACCTTAGCAGGACCAGATTTCCCCCACCATCTTCAGCTGATTGGTATGGTGGGAAATAATACTCAGGACTACCAAAACTAAGACTACATTAAATGTGCTTATTTCACAGCTAACTTTCATTTGCAAACCATGGGCTTAAGTTAGTGTCTTTTATTAAGGTCCTAAAGTCACACAGGGCTACAAAAGAAAAGAGATTGGTGATTTAATGAAGCTCGACTTTGACAACTTTTGAAATCCATGTATCAACCTTGAATATTTGACTGTCCTTCAATTAGTGCTACTTTAACTCATTCTTAAAATTCTACTATATGAACTACGGACAAGAATAGTTACATGGTTAGACATTAGCAAAATGGTATCTGCATGGATACTACTGCGGAGCATCCTTCATGAAAATAACAGCTTTAGTTAGTCCACACCAGCTGCGAAAATATTTGGGTTTGGCTTCCAATCATGTTCTCTTTGACAGCTTATTTACCTCCTTCTCACTTGAGGAAAAAAAGGGTTAGGGACTTCTGCATCTTGATTTAAGATCTGTACACTCAGCACTTCTAGCTCAATTCCCTGTAGCTACAACTGGCTGTTCTTTTCTCCTTGACACCTTCTCTTTCCATCCCTGCAATACTCAGGAGTGCCATACCCAGCTTTAGACATTCACAGAATAAACGTGCAAAGCATTAACTGTGCGTTTAAGGGCAGCATTATCCCAGATTTTCATTCTCAAAGCCAGTTTAAGAGCTATTTGCAGAAGATTTACCTTAGCAAGCTCTTTTCTTAGCTCATCCTGCTCTTCTTCTGAAAGTGTTTCTGCCATTCCAACTGTAGCAGCAGCATCCTCTCCAACCTCAGGTATGGAGTCACTTCTCAGCAGCCCTTGAGGTGAATAAACCATTAAAAGTCAGATGATCACGTCTGTCAGATACCTGATGTTAATATACAGCCCTTTTGTGCCAGTGCACAGAAAAACCTGATGAGAAGACAACAAAGCCACACTCCCAGAGTACTATGGTATAGAGAAAACCTGAGGCATTTTACTGGCTGTTTTGTTCTGTATTAAAGCTCAGTATAATGGCAAATGCTGCAATGATAGTAGACTGGAAACATGTTAGAACAACACTGATGGAAACTACTTCGATAGAAACCAAGGTGCAGAATGCCACATCCCAACCAGTGGTTCCCCACACAACCTCAGCCCAGGAGTCCATGCGCTTTCTGCTCTCTATTGCTTATGCAACACAAACTCTGGAAGTGCTCAAGACCAAGGCAGAGGCTCCCTCCCTCCCTGCTCTCTGGATCAGATTTAAAAATGCTCAGCACACTGGGAGCAGTCGTGGTGAGAAGCAAGCTCAGCGACAGTGGAGAAAAGGGTTTCTGCATCCTGTTGATCCTCTCTGATCCCAGTAACAGGGACCACTGTGGCTGGAAAGTCGCAGATACCGTGTAACTAGAAGCAAGCTGCTGTTTTGCACCTGGACATTAGGACAGATGAGAAGCCCAGAGAAGGAACTCGTGAACAAAAGGTTGTCACTTCAGACAACGCGGTGGAGCACTGAGAAGGGACTGATGAGCATGTGCAGCCACACATACTGCGGCCTCTTCCCCTTCCAAACCCAGAAACCAAAACTCTGCCACCTCTGTATGAACCTCAAACTTCCCTGTGGTCTTCCTCACCTTTCACCTTCACAGCATCAGGGAAAGGAAGAACGGTATTACTTGTATTACTATGATGTGCTCACTTTAAAGATTCATTTCTTCTTAGTTTTAGTGTTTGCAGTAAAGATCACTTTAAACACCTTTTAATGCAACAAGTATTTTCAAGCAAAATATTTCCCATTCTGAATCTCTGCAGCTGACACTTAAACATACAGTTTGCCAGAATTAAGGAATCCTGTTCCAATTTGCAAGGAGACCAGTTTGCAGAAAGACTGCATGCTGGAATGGTTATGGATTCCCAGAACTAATTCTCTATTCAAGAGGTAAAGTAACTTTGTAGAGAGTAAAAACCAAACAAAATCTTAAAACAGAAGAAAAAAAATCAGGATTGTTTGTAAGGAGAGAGGGTGAATGTGTATGTACATATATATGTGTGTGTATAAATATATATATATATCTCTGAAGATATATAATTCAGATAAGTTCAGGACGCATTATTGTTCCTTTACTAGTCACTATAGTAATTAAACAGATAAAATTCGGTCCTCATTTTAGCAGCTTCTGATGGCACTGCGCAATATCATTTGGTCTGGGAATCCAAAAACTCATTTGAGCGCAATGAGATCACCACTGTGATTTCATTGTGAGGCCTGGTATCAAACAGCTACATCACAATCAACCGACAAGTCAGGGTAAAAAAGAACCTGCGAGTCTGGTTAGGTAGGTATTGTATGAAACATTCTCCTAGCAGCTGTCCAGCCTAAGAAAAGAAGAGGCCTTGCCCTTGATCAAGTTTCTGAACTCAGGAAGAGCTCAGTTCCACAAATTCTTTCCAAAATGGTATGTTTTATGGCTGTATTTGTGTCCAGAATGTTTGTCCGCTAGAAGCACACTGCCACACAGGCAGAACATCTGTATATGGCAAGTTACCACAGAACACACAGAGAAGGAAGCACACAGAAAGCAATTGAAACCTCATTCTGCTCCTGTTGATGAAATCTATACCACATTTTCCCAGAAATTTACATCTATCTTCTACATAAACATAATGTGTTTCCTACAGATTTCTCAATATGCTATTTTCTGGCAGGAGTCTAGAGTGGGGAAAAAAAAAGGTTTGAGTCTAATGCTGAAACCAAAGCACAGCACTACAGCACTGACCAGGATTACAGCTCATGTCTCACAATCAGGTAATATTTTTTTTAAACATTAACACATTTCCTTTTCTCAACATCAAGCAGTTAGCAATTTTACAAAACGGTATGGGTATTCTTGTTTATGCTGTTCTTTAAATACACGTACCTGAAGGAAACCCAACAATTTAAGCTGCATTTTCCCCTGCAGCTCTACGACCCCCAGTATGCTGACCTCCGAGTCTTGACCTTGTTCTCCATCTGCAGCCCCTTCAGCACTTCTCAGTTGGCAAAGCCATTCAGACTGTTTGTAAGCACCAAAGACCACGCTGACTCCTGAGCATCAGCACACCCAGCGGAGAGTCTGTTCGGTCTGGTTATCAAGAGTCATCTGGATTATCTCGCCAAAAATAGATCAAGTGAATCCAGCAGTAGGATTTAGCTCCATTTCAAGTATGCAAGCACCTTCCCATCAGTCTTTATTTTGGCATCTCCCCTGCATCCCCTTTTACTCATCATCTCTGCTCATTTTGCTCCCATTCCCTGGATCACTTCAACACTTGCAGGACACAGGGTGTACCTGTGCTACAGGATGCTGTGCTAGGCAGCCCTTGTCTACACAGGTAAGAACCCACAGACCTCCTCAGTGGTGTGGCTACAGCCCAAATACACTCCATGAACAAGAGCTGACAGACAGCAGGATCCTGGCTTCGAGCCAGCTCCCTAAGGAAGAAGGACAGCCCACATGGGATATTTCTGGGGGGAGCAAGACAAGAAACCGGGGAAACAGCAGTCATGGACAGATGGAAATGCTTCAGCTCAATCTGTTACTAAGAGAGCATTTCTCACTTGTGGTTGTCTTTGTTCACCCGCAGAAACGTTATTGGCTTCCAACTTGTTACCTTTCACTACTGTAGTGCTCTAGCATCTTTAGAGTTGCAAAGGACTTAAAATTCAGTCGTTTGGCACTCTGACTGCTATAACCAAGTTTAGCTGAACATTTCGTGTCTTAAACTCCTAAACAGAGTAAAAAATCTGGTAGTAAAAAAAACTGGAAAGAGTTATCTAGTATTGGGAAAACCTAGCTAGTTTTAAGGTCAGTTTTTAGGTGACTCTGTTTCTAAGATTAACATATTATCCTAGCAGTTCATTAGATCTCCTTAAATGAACCACAAAAGGACACAAAGAAGTTGGTTGATTAGGACTCCACAGATCACATTCAAACAGAGAGCACTTAAGCACCCACTGCTCTGCCGCAGTAGGCAAAGAATTCGAGACACTCAACTTACACTCAGGTTTCCTGGTTTAGAGGTTGCTTTGTTTGGTTCCAATCCAAGTTCAGGCTCTATTTCGACCCAAACTTCCTACCACTTTCTGGCCTTAATTCAGAGATTAGCAGTAAATATCAGCCCTTTAAGGAAGTACCAGGCATTTCAGCAGCTTTTGGGGCAGAGGAGGGTTAGCCTTCATAAAGCCTTATCTTTAGGCAGACATACTCTGTGTCAGACACTCAGGATGTGCATATTTGGCAATCACTATACAGTTGGCAGAGCTAAAGAAAAGAGTGTGCTTGTTAGAGTTCAGGAGAACAAGCTGTTACAAGATTGTAAGATCACACCAACGTTTGAGTAATGTGCAGTGCTACAGAGGATATTTATTTTGCAATATATGAGAGATCAAATTGAAGTGCTTCCCATTTATCTCAGTGAAGAAGCCAAAGCAAGACATATTTCTTCAACTCGGGGGAAAAAAAGCTCTTGGGCTTCTCTCAAACACAAATCATATATTCATTCAAAGTGAGTGAAAAAGGAAGAAAAACCCAGCAAAGGTTGATGCTTATAGTGATGCATAGCCACCAGATACAAAAGGCTGTTTCTCCCCTTTAGAAGGGATGGGAGATGCAATAATTGCAGCAGTGAAAGCTCCACTGCTCCCCAGAGCCCCCCAGCTCATCTAGTTCAGAGGAGCTTGGTTTAGTTCACACAGGTGATCCCCAAGGGGTGCATGTTTCTTTACAATCTTAAAGACTGAGCCTAACAACAACAAAAAGAAATCAACACCTTTGTAACTTTGCCTTGCCACACCTAAGTAGGGCAGAGCTTTCTATATTTTTAATTACCCTGGAAGACGGCATCCAGCAGCATGGGATGGAAAGTGAAAGGGAAGGTGGTCAAACCAGAGTAGTATGCACCGGGAGGCACAGCTGTAGTGTTCTGTACAGCACATCACCAGCCAGAAACCAGCGGGGTTAAGCTCTAGGTGGATGCTGCTGCAGCACAGCACGCAACAGCCGCTTCCTCAGGGGAGCACAAGTACAGTTACTATCTGCAAGCATAAGATTTACAGCATTTTAAATGCTAGGTGGAACAGAGTAAAGGTTTTAGAGGGCATTTTTGCTCATCTGGGATATTTCTAGTACTAATGCAAGAGCAAATGTTAGACTATCGAGAGCTCTGAAGTCATACTGAGCACCCAATTCCTACCTCCTCCCCAAGAAAGCTAATACTCAAACTAGGCCAATTACTTCAGTCTTACAGAAGTTGCCCTTTTGTTCCTCTTTTTCCCCCCCCCCCCCCCACTTTGTTTTCCTTCAAGTAGTCTTTCCACTGAATTAAGAAATAGCAAATAATGTCAAGCCGGTAAATGCAAAGCACATTAGAGATTGACATACTGAAGCTAATAAGCTACCAGAGTTAACACCAGGTCATCATCTACTTTCATTTAGACTTGTGTTTCAGCCAAATTTTATAGATTCTTTTGAGAAGTTCCTTTTACAGACAGTAATCATTAAGCTTTCCATGCAGAGGTTTTGAAAGAGAAAGAGCGGGAAGTTACCAGACTTCGCCAGCGTAGGTGATCCGGGTGGAGAAAGGTTAATGCCAGGCGACAGGTAAAGGTAGTTTCTGTTCACTCCAGCATTGAAATCGAAGGGCGATTTGTAATCCTCAAACAGATCCATGCCAGAAAATTCAGAGTGCACAGCCACCCTCTTCGTCCACCGAAGCTTTCATCCTCACTTTCTGGGGCAACCCAGACAGCAAGAGTCAGAAACCCTCCGTTTCTTCATGTGACGCTCACTGCACCTCCTTGCACAATTCAGCTCTCTCACACCTCTGTTAGATTTGATAGAGCCTTCCAGCGAGTGATTTCTTAGCCATCTTGTAGGTGCTGCTGTTTACATGGCACAAAGTTAAGTTCCTGTAAATTTGTAACTGGGGCTGGACTTAAACAGACCGTTCCTTTAGCAAACATTCACGGTGCACTGTTCCTGGCTTCTGGAAGAGTCCTGGCCCTCTGCAGAACTGCATCAAGAATTTTCAATCATTTAAATAAAAAAAGGTCAGCTGACTGCAGCTACACCAGGATATCCTTAATCTTCTAGGACACAAAAGGATTACTAGCCGTAATCTATCCTATATACCATCTGTGTAGGACTTTTTCCCCTGATTAATGGAAAATTCTGCGTGCATAACCATTTCTCCAGTTGCTTCCAGCACTGTAACAACCAGCAGCCAGAACCCGGTCTCTGTTGCCCAGGTATCACGCTGTAGTGCAAGCTCAGAATATGAGAAAGCAGCACTCGCCTCCAAAGGCTATGCTATAAACGTCACCTAGGTTTTTTAATGAATGTGCTAATGTGCATTGTGATTATTGCTCATGAGAATAAACACATCTGGGCACGAGGACGTTTTGGTTTTGTAAAAAAAAAAAAAAAAAACCAAAAAACTACTGAAGTGCACCACCCTATGCGCCTGGTGCTTCAGCCAGAGTCACTTAGAGCAGCCAGCTACACAAGGAACCGGTAACACTGGAACGCACTGTCCTGATGAAATGTATTTATGTTTTGACATGTATACCGTGAAGAAAGATCAACTTACATAAGCCATCTAACTTCATGCTAGGAGGGTTAAGATTCAGCCCTGGGAAGCAGAAGTGCTTCTTACCTAAAAGAGGCACTCAGCACAGTTTTGCAATGCTTCACTAGTTTGGTTTTTTGTTGTTGTTCCCAAGTCAGCTTCTTTCACTGAAAAAACAAGCTTGCTAGCAGTGTAGATCACCTTTACAGCAACAATTTTCTCCCATCCCCATGCCTTCACTTGGGCTCTCCACTGCTACCTGCACACTGAGGAGCATAATCTAATGGGAGCTGATCTTTTCCTCCACCTAGGAGTGATGTTTTAGACAGAGCGACCAGAGGCATTACACCACCCTCTGCTCAAAGCCGCAGAGGGGAAGGAGCCTTGCAGCACACCCAAGTCAAGCCTGGGCAATGTATTCCCTGTGGATGCGAGAAGAAAGGACCACTTTTGAAGTATTAACTTCCCACTGGCACTGCAGACAGCAGGCGCAGGAACAGACCTTCGGGCTGATTAAAGAGCAGCTCCTTTAGACTGTGGACCTACAGTGGCTTCTGGTGCAGACTACCCGCAGGCTCCTAACAATAAGTGTGGCAGAGCCTGAACCACAGGTCTCTGCTATTTTCTGAAATTTCTTCTTTTCCTTCTGAAAAGAAGGAAATATAACACTCCTCTCATTTCAGACACATGTCTGCAGCATCTGCCAGAAATACTCCAAAGTTCACCTGCCAAAGGTCAAAGCTTTGCTCACAGATTCCAGTTAAAGCATTCAGGGGCAGCAGAGAACTGTAACGTGGCTACAGTAATAATGTACTCTCTATTAACCAAGCACGCCAATATGAATAGCTGCCGGTTCTGCTTTGCAGCGTCTCCTGGTGTAACTCAGCAGACAGGGACTGCCTTCTGTGCAAAAGGCTCAGACAGTAGCTGCATTAACTGGATTAGGCAAAGTGACAACTTATCAGATGTGGCACACTGGAAGAGCTGGGTGTTTTCCACCACCACTTTAAAAAAAAGGCAGCAAAGCTGAGGCTGCACCACTTAGGACTTTTTCCTAACCCTGGAGAATCATTCAAGGTAGCACCAGTCAACAGTAGCAGGTTATGACATCTGAAAGTAGCTATTATAGAAAAATAACCCCTTAGGAAGATCTCTTCATCCCTGCTAGCAATCAGGAAAACCATTTCCTGGCCAACGGCAACTACCGGAGTCTACACTTATGGCCATTTAAAGGAAATTCCCTGCATTCAGTTTTACCCTGTACTGTCCATTTAAAAATTCTGATACTCTTTCTGCATCTTCATTGTGCCAGAGTTGGTTACAGGGCCCTGGAGACATCAGGACTGCCAGTCTGAGACCGCTGACCTGGCCTGTCACAGCTACAGACAGAAGCACCTATGAGCCAAACTCTTCAACACATCCTCAGTGTGGGCTGGAGAGACAAGTGCAGGACATAGCCCACCACTGGAACAGAGCTTTGGCTGACAGGACAGGCTTGCTGAGTTACAAATCTCAGTCTCTACTCGAGACTGAATTCTGCTTATGCCTTGCCTGAGCACGAGCCCAGAAGACACATGAGCCAGTACTCTACTGTCCTGAGATCATTGGCAAGAGAGAAGCTGTGCAAGCACTCCTTACTTCAAACTACTTCTTTGCTCAGATTAATCTATCTAGCTGAGTCCATACAGCTCAGTAGCTATAAGCATCTCCCAAACAAGCCACATAAGCACATTGGCCTCCTGCTCTCTTACCTGCAGGAGTTTACAGGAGCATCATTCCTGTCCTGGTTTGAGCTAAATAGAAATAATTTTCTATTTAGTGATTTTACTTTTCAGCTCAGTCTCTTTTAAGTGACTGAACTTGCTGAAAACTGGCAGCATGTTTTTCCCAGACAGCACTGCTAGAAGATATGCTCAAGGTCAGTTGTCTCATCATGGGTACTGTGTCTGCGCCTACAGGGGGGGAGCTGCGGACCCAAAACTGACCAACGAGGTATTCCATCCCACATACGTCATACTCAGTATAAAACCCAAAAGATCACGAGGGTCTTGTGCCTTTTCCCCTTTTCACCCTTCTTCCATCTTGGAGCCCTTCCATCTCAGACCCTTCTGTCCATCTCGATCCTGCAGAGGCCAAGGCCTGAGCAGAATCCTGCCCATTCGTCTGCTGCTGATCCTGATTTGTGTGTCCTGCATCCTGCTCCCACCTGCTGCTGAGTTTGGTCTGGGACTTTTCCAGTGCCCGGCTCCGCAGAGCCTCTGGTGATGTATTCGTCATTGGGGGGAGGGTGGGGGGAGAATTTTATATTGGTTTTGTATATATTTGTACATATTTGTATATATTTCATTATCTTCCTATTTACAATATTATTCTGTAGTATTGGTATTATTGTTTCATTAAATCTGTTAGTTTATTTTTCCAACCCGTAAAGCCTCTCTCCCTTATTCTCTTTTCTCTTCCCTTCTGGGGAGGGGAAAGGGGTTAATAGAGAGCGTCTGTCCAGGATTTAGTGGCCGGCCCAGCCCTAAACCACGACAGCTCCTCACTCATTCTCAGCTAAAAATCCTACCTGGTGATGAAGGAAGCTGTCTCGCTGAACAAGCTTCTTCTCCATCACCAAGGGATGTTTGATGGTCTTCACCCTGAAGCACAAGCCAGTCTGACTGTAAAGGGAAAGGACTGCTGTCCACCTCTTCCAAACCTGCTGCAGGACCACTTCTAGGCTACCTGTCACCTGTAACTCATCCACTGCAGTGAAGACAAGTACTCCCCTGCCAGCCAAAACAGTTTATTTCCTGCTTTGCCAGCAGCCTTTCAGCACATCCAGTGATTCAGGGCAGAGCAAGGCAGCACTCCCCCCCCCCATACTGCTTAAAGGCAATCTATGCCATTTTAGAAGCTGGTGTCTGAGAGACAGGCACCAAGGTAGGTAACTTCTGTCAAGGATGCTTGAACCAACTACCAACAAGTTCAACTGAATGTCACAAAGCAGCTCAAGGGGGCTCAGCAAAGCATTACCATCACAACTCCTACCATTAATCATGCTGTAATCTACTCTGTTAAGGTTAAAGAGTTTGCTTAGAGCTTTCCCAGGTAACTATTGAGCACCAACAGGCAGCACAGACTGAATGCGGGAATGAATCATGCAGGAGGGAACTTCCTGCACAGCCACAAGAGCCTTGAAGTTTGAGCAAACACTGTTGACCAGCCTGTCTAGCCTCAGACACGCTTCTTTCCTCAGGTACCACCTGCTACCCAGGGCTGCAGCTTCCACTCTGCCCCAAGGCTCTGGCAGCAATTTGAGTAAGGTAATATAATATTAAAGCACTTCTACCTTGTAAGTAGCTAAGCAAGGATAAGATGTTACCGTAGCCTTGCACAGAAGCTGCTTTTCCTACATTTAGGTCTAAGCATAACAATAGTTTGTTTATACATGAAAAAAGTTATATCCCTCTTCCCCTGTAGAAACCAAACCCAGCTCAAGTACAACTGAATACCATCTCTGGGCCCTGAAGAAACTCAGCTCTGTATTCATCAGTGTTTCATACAAAGAGTTAAATGCAAAATGGAAAGGCTACCACTAATGCCTTAGGATTGGTGGAATGCAGGGACTACCCTAGGAAAAATTCCAAACAGTACTTCAGATAAAGCTACATAAATGACCAATCCATAAACTCTTTGCCTAATCAGAGTTCTGCTGCTATGCAGGCACCTTCACCATCTTGGATATCGTGTGTTTGTGTCCTGTCTAAGCACTGAGATGCCAAACTTTTGCATCACAGCCCATACTTCTGGCAAGTCTACCATGACTCCAGTGCTTAATTCAGCAAGCAAAAGAGGATGGAGGGGAGATGAGGGGAAGAGCTTGTTGCCAAAGAGGTGGAAGAGGACCTTGCTGTTTTGAGAGCGTAGCAAAAAGATTCCCTCTCTTATTTCAAGTTCAGTTGCCAAGATTCAGCTGCCTGCTCAGCCTGTACCTGGATTGAATTTGCATCTTCTGCAGTCTGCTACCAGGCAAAGCTGGAGGCCTTCCAGAAACAGCAGCTGGGGTAAAGACTTCCAGCCAGGTCTGCCCCCAGCCCATCTTTCCCAGATAGGTCCCAATGAGGCAGCAACAGTCAGGCTCCTGTCCGCACTCCAGCTGAGCTTTATAGGGCATAAGCCATTTTAAGAGCTCTAAAGCTACTTAAACATCTTAAGCCAATCTAGGTTTTGTAACATCAATTTGATCTTCAAAGTCTTACCAGTTTACAGACAAGTAAAGCCTTTCAGCACCCAACCCAGGGCCTTAAAACTGCATTAAGAGAGAAAGATGCCATAAAGCAATAGGACAGAAGCCTAAACACTAAGCAAGCCTTAAATTAGTGCATTCATGCTCCTATTCCTATGTTGTGCTCTCTCCCCTCCCTTTCACAGCAGATACCTCTTCAGCCCCTGAGATTTGTTC